TCTTAATTATCTCTCCTTGGAAGAATGCATTGGCACTTCATTTGAACAAACTTGAATTATCTTTACCCAAGGTTACTTTGTGGCAAGTTTGGTGGAAAATGGCCCAGTAGTTCTTGAGAAGAAGTGGAAAAATGTGAAAAGTTTACGCACAACGCACGACGACGGACGTAAACAGACAGCAATTGGTCACCTGAGTAACTGAGGTGATTTAATATAAGCCATTAGAGAATCTGACGGTTTCCAGGTTCAAGAACATCATTACTAGTGCACTAAACATGGACCTAAGAAATGGTAAGGGCACGGACTTTAGGAGGTTATATTCCACAACCTCCCTTGCGACCCCAGCCAACCCGCCCTTTACTACAACACCGACAGCCCCTCCACCTGTAAGAAAACAGGGTCTGATGGATCGAAACATCTTCGCCAGTTTACACAACTCTACAACTCAATTATCTCCCCGTTGGTACCAGCGCGGCCAACTACCGCGGGAGGGTATCTTTCGTCTGCTTCGTTTAATATTCCAGCCGCAACAGCGACTTCACACACTCTGCCACCAATGACTTCACGCACAGTCCCCAGTGTAATAAAACTTGCGCCATACAATCCTAAAGAACTTGCCACACAGTGGTGGCACTTTTTATGCAACTAGTGGCTTATTTTAATATGACGGAATCTGCTTCTCTTGTCGCAATTCCTTTCTACCTTTATACAATACCAACACAGTGGTACTTTCAATTGTCAGAAAGAATAAAATCTTCGTTGTCTTATTGAAAAAAAAAATACATGGTCGAATTATGATGAAATTTATTAGATGACATGGAAATGGAAAGAGGGCAAATAAAGGCAAACAGAACCTTTTATACTCGCAATCCGTTTCATTGATACCCTGTTTCTCTCTAGGTATCTTAATCTTCTTTAATTCCACCAGGTACTCTAGAATCATGCCATCAAGATTAACTATTGTTTATCGTTATGTTGTATAGGATTCCATACTTTATCTACATGAACTTAGTATCATTATTTAAAGTTAAATTTTCTGTCTTCTTTTAAGGTATATTTGCTTGTTGCATAACAATATCATTTTTTATTACGTGCATTCCTTTACTTTATTATAATGTTTTCTGTGTTCTTTTGTGATATATGCTATTATAATCATGGTAGTTATATTTGAATTTCAGATTATTCTGTGTAATTATCTCTTTCCATTTCATCAAATAAATTTTATCATAATTCAACCTGTCTTCTTTTAAGGTACGAGATACTGGAGTCACGAGGATTACTACTCAAAGTTTGTGAACACCCTAACCATGCTAAATAAACTAAGCCATACTCTAAACTCAAACCCCACCTGCTACCACAAAGAAACAACATAATAATCCTAAAAAAAACTATCCCTTGTCGATAACTCACACCCGCCATGAGACCTAAGTATTGATCAGGAAGACCGAGTAATCCGTAGAGAAAAAAACAGGTTAAAATACACAAGAACCAGGAATAGCAAGGACCTGCAAAGGCGTGACCATTTTAATGCAACTTCTTGTCAAGCCCCACCAATCGCATACGGATTCAATAGGAACCCCAGAATTTGCCCAAAAGCTCTCTAAAAGGCAGAGTACTATCTTGGTACGCATCGAGCAGCTAGGTGTGCAACAAGTAATTATTATCCACAGATTCAGGAAGTACATGATACATTTACTTGGCTTGGAACAACTTTAACATGAGAGGGCCAGAAGTCGCATCATTATATTCTTTAAGGACATACGCAACGTACCTTACCTACTGATAATTTTTCAAGATATTCTTAATTTAAGATTATAGTGCCATCAGATGTTCGTCGACAAAAAATCAGCATGCATTACCAGGGGTTTTGAAAAGATATCAATTGATGAAAATTCTTGTATAATTCAAAGAAAAATACACAAAAATTACTAAACACATATTTTTTGATGTTTTGTTTATCCAAACTTGTTTTAGAAGAAGTGTACAACAGCTTACATAGACATACAAATGTAGCACACAATTCCTTTAAGTATTGGAACTCTTCAACTCCAGGGAAAAAGACAATAAAGTTCAAACTACGTTGCGTATGTCCTTAAGATGTATACCATCAAACAGCATTAGTTTCCCATTTACCACCTTTTAAAGGTCACCAACAGCAGTTCTTAGTCGTTTTCCATGGTTATCAACATCCATCAGATCGGTACCAGGTCTGATCGTTGATTACATCCAACATGATCAGTGATGACAGCATGAACCATTTTGTGAAAGAATTCGCCATCAGTTTGTTGACATAATACAGACAATCAGCATGTCTAAGGAGTGTCCAACCATGTGCAGGCATTCTCGTTGACCTTAAATGGGTTCAAGTCCCGGCAACCTTTCTTTTTTCCAAATATTCAATAATGCAAGGCTTTAAATGCACATGTACTTTCAAATCAGATCGTTCTAAGCTTTTAAAACATAACGGATTTCCTTCCTTAAACAAAGGAAATGATTAACGAATCTCCCCCGCACGACTTGGCCAATATTTCAACGAGTAGAAAAATGTTAGATTGATCATAACAATGTCGGTTGTATGTTCGTTCGCCCTTGACGCCGTTCGCTCAAATTCTCGTTCGCCCAGAGTCCGACCGCCCAAAAGTTCCGTTCGCCCTATTTAATTTGCAGAAAGTTAAATAATGAACAAATGGAATTTTTAATAAATTTTATGTACATTGGTACATAAATTGCACATAGACAACAGACGTATGCATATGGTCACACTTCGAATTTCATTTTCCTTCTTCTTATATATCATTTTTAGATCATAGGTTTGGATTTTAATTATCAATATTCAAAGGTAAAACCTTGCCCATCCGCTACTCAGCTCCATAATGGGCCTATTAACGTCTCAGTCTTTTGTTTTCAATACATAACGGAGATTGTAAAAGAAAAAATAATTAAAAAAAAAACGGATATGGACCTCCAAATTACAGTGACATTATTAAGTATAATCAAATCAATTAAGGTCAGACGATATGTTCCTCAAATGTCTGTTTTGTTTACCTTCGAATTATGTGGAAAATATTCAAAGTTTTAATTACCTTCTGATTTCTAAACTAGTTTCTAATTGTCTTTAAAAAAATGAAACACCAAAAAATGTGTTATTGGCTAATTAAGTTTCTTAGAAAAGGATTTAAGAGTAAAAACATCCTCTGGTATCTTGCACAAATGCCTGGTAAGGTACCTCAATTTTTTGCGAGTAAACATGCTAAAGTAGCAATACCACAATGACAAAATCTTAGAAAAAATTATATATTATTGAGGAACATATCGTCTGTCCTTAAGCGTGTAAAGGCATAATCCTGTTATTAGCATCGTGATGCTAATAATTATTGACGTTTTTTTACGTAACGTCAGAAGCGTTAAAAGTTGTTAAATATAAATATTTAATGATTTTCAATGGTTGAAAATAAAATTTAGATAAAAATAAATAATAAACTTGTAATCGCGATGCTAATTACAGGAGTATATATAGAGAGACGAGACACATTTACATACCTGTAAACTTATTAGCATCGCGATGCCAACAACAGGAGTATATATAGAGAGACGAGACGCATTTCTATACCTCAAAACTTATTAGCATCGCAATGCTAATAACAGGAGTATATATAGAGACGACGTTTCCAAATATCAAGATAATAAGCTCCACAAAGGGAAGTATTCCCGGGAAAAAGGGTTTCTTTGGGGGACTTCATCAGAACAAATGGGGCTTGGAGTTTTTTGGGGGTATCACTCTAAAAATGGCACATCTTACTAAGGTAAAATGCCCAAAACTTATTAGCATCGCGATGCTAATAACAGGAGTATATATAGAGAGACGAGACACATTTACATACCTGTAAACTTATTAGCATCGCGATGCCAATAACAGGAGTATATATAGAGAGACGAGACACATTTACATACCTCAAAACTTATTCGCATCGCGATGTCAATAACAGAAGTATATATAGAGAGACGACATTCACATAAATACCTCAAAACTTATTAGAATTGCGATTCTAATACTAGGGCTATTATACACAGAGAGAATTTTACAAAATAAAGATATGATGAAGAAAAAAAATTGTTTCTCTTGTAGTGAATTTAAGTATTTTTAAAAACATGTACACTGTAAAAATCGTGTTTAGATGTTGAACACTTTTCTTAACACATTTGTGAAACACAGTTTTTCACATGTTCTAAATCTAAACATGTTTCCCACTTCAACATGTTATTTAAAGTGCTTAGAGTCTAAACGTGTTAGAAGTCCATGTGTTTAGGAATTAAACACCTAAACCCTTTCTTCATGTTCTAGTTTTAAACATGTTTAGATTCTAAACACAAAAGAGGTATCCTTGCTCTGCATGAGAATATATACTGTTGCATTCATTATTTGTCCAAAAATCCTGAAAATTCATGTAAATGTCGTCCTTGTTCATTACTGTATATACATGTCATCCCAGAAGCATTACAGTTACAAAAAAAATCAATAAGAATATACTTCATTAATCTAATTTATTAATCAAACTAATCTATTGATATCAAATCCATGCATCACTCAAAAACATATGTTATTCTAATACTAAAGAAGTACTTGAATATGTATATTATGTCTTTGAAAAGAAATTATACTTAAATGAGGAATCCAAATTCTAAACAATTCAAAAATTGAAACGAAAAATTATTTTCAAACTTTCACTTTTTGACAACATATCGAGTTCTTGACTTCTAAAATTTCTAAGATTATCCTTTCTCAACCAAAGACATGTTTAAGTCAAGTGTAATGAACCTAATATTCACAAAATATACATAAAAACTACATGTATTGATCTCATTAAACAGAACAATTGAAGAACAGTATATAATTACCTTTTTATAGAGGCAATCTACCATAACGTGAATACAATAATTACAATTAGTTGCATTAAAAAGTACCAAAAAGAAAAAAAAAGTATCAATGTCATGAAGTACAATTAATAGGAGTCAATACATTTGACATAAGTAACATAACATTGAACCTTATCCTCAAAAGGTTATATCTTGGTATCTTTTTAGATCTGATATACTAGTAAACAGGAATGTTTCACACCAGTTAACATTTTTGTAGAACATGCAAAAAGAAATGACAAAAACATATTCATAATTGACTACAAAGTATGTCTAAAGCAAACATAATTAAACACACCTATGTTTACTAATATTTCATTCAAATGAAACAAATCCATTGAAATGTAGATTGAAACCAATTTATAACAACAAACCAATGGTGTTTTCTTGCTTACAACAAAGTCAGGTTTTGTCAACAAATAGTACAAAATGTAGAAATTTGAACTAGAAATAATGAGATTCTACAGTAGCATGATTCACTGTGTAGCGTCAAGACGCTTGCAGAATTTCATGTAGTTTTGGGAAACAAAAAATTTATTCTCCCTGTCTTCTAATATGTAATGTTGCAAAAAGCCCAGAAGTTGAAAATGTTTTGGATATGACAAATCCCATGCATAGTAGGAGTAAATCAATCGTAATAGTCCATCCCTGAGTATTCCCACATTTGTGTCAACCTCCTGGCCTGCTCCCACAATATACATATTTTGAATCTCGTTCCTTTGGTTGAGAACTGCAACTAATCTTGGTGGGTCGTCATGCTTTGTTTTTGAACCTTTCCACTCACTTGCCTAAAAAAGGGACATAAAAACTATACATTGTACATTTAAGAGTTTAACATGGAAAAATGATAAGTTTTTTCATCTAAAATTTATTTTCTTACTACTGATACTGGCTTTATTTCATACCTTGCACGATGTAATCAAGGGAAGCTGTTTGGTACCATGCTTGTACTTGATTGATTCCTCCAATCTGTTCAAAAGCTTTATTGTAACTTCTGGAATCTAATAAAAGAAAAATTCTATTACTATGTGGATTAAGGTATAACAAATTTTAAAATACTTCAATACTTAATTAAAGTAAGTATAACACTCACAGAGTCTGAGTTTTCCTCCATGAATATTTGGGACACTTTTCTCATTACTTCATCCCAGTGAGCCAAAATAGCATCTTTTTTCAGGTTTTGTTTGATAAGGAAAAACTCCTTCTCAATCTGAAATAAAGAAGGGTAATCTTAGCAATACCTAACCATTTCTGTTTTGTATATTAAGAAAAATACCTTCATCTATAGAGTGCTTAAAAATGCAAGGGATACAAACAAGATCCTAGAAAAATAGCCAACAGTTAAAAAATATGCTTTACTGCACTATACGTTAAATTAGAGCACACTGCATTAACATTGCAAAAATCACAAGAAAGGAAAATTCATTAAATTAACAGCAGATATAAATTACATACAAACGCAGCTTTTCCTAGAAATGGAAACTTCTTGATGAGATGTTCCACAGATCCCCCATGTCTTTTTTCTATAAACAATCTTCTCTGTTTTAATGTATCTCTTTGAGTCTTAGCAATAAGTGCATTGTCTCTTAGTTTGGTTGGTTTTTTAAATTCCTCCATCAGTACATTTTCTGCTTCTTCTAGGGTCATTCTCTCTTAAAAAGATATTGATGAACATTAGAATAAAATGAAAATTGACAAGATATTATTGATTTGCAATTTAGCTATCTTCAGCAATAAATGTTATTTCTGTGTGTCACCTGTAAATAAAGCAATCTACCCATGCAACCCTCTCTGCCTTTTGAAAGATAAATATTTCGCTTACCATCTGTTGAGGAGACTTTTTTCAAGCACACTTTTGGCTTTTTCTCTGCTGTGTGTTCAACAGCCTTTCCTCTTGCATTCCATCTCCACCTTATGTGTCTTACTTTTTGTGACAACTTTTTGTTGAAGTATCCCTAGAAATACAGAAAATATAGAAAACCATTATCTGAGATTTTAAAACATCTATTATATAAAATTTAAGCAATATGAGCTGCAACTTTGATGTCAAAATTTTCTGTTGCAAAATTGCCATTAACTATTTCAAGGACAGAGAAAAAGAACATTTATAAACTTCTGTTGTTCATATTTGTAATAGAAAAACTATTTACAAGCTCTTAATGATGCAAATTTACATTATTGTCATCCTGTACAATATATAGTTTTCTTAAATAATACTAAATATTTGATTGTACAGAGATCTTTCTTTTGAAACAATTTAATACTTTATTTTAGTCTTATTAATCATAAAAGGTTTAAATTACTTCCAAATTTATCATAATGACACATTTTAATAGCAAAATAAAATTCTCAAAAATGCAGCTCATACTAGTATTGCTTTAAATGGTTTACCCAAGGATCTTTTGTGGCAGAGTGTCCAATACAGGGAAACTTGGAATACATTAATCTTCCAAAGTCGGTATATATTCCCTTTGTTTCAAAGTTACCAACACTTAAAACATGATAGGCTGTCTCTTCGACCATTTTATCCCATTCTTTGTAGATTTCACCCTTTTCCAGTAATGATCTAACAACGGGAGAGTATGATGGTATATACTGTTCTAAAGACTCAGTGGATGTTGGTTTTGACGGTTTACGGCTCTGTAATTTAAAAGGAAAAAAAATATTTATTACACATATTAATGTTTTTAAATTAATTAAAGAACATTGCATTTGTCTTTTTGCAGCTTTTTAAAGTACTGGTAGAATAAACTAAAAACGTATCAATTTAAAATTTTGCTTTCAATTTATTAAATCAACATAATTTCAAATTATTTCTTTGGAAACATTTCACTGGATATAAAGTACTCACTTCAGCTGAGCTTTCAAATGAGGTGCCTTCTACTTCAACATGTTCAAGATCTAGGCCACCACTTGCAATCTCAGGTAATGTTGCCACTGGTACCTCATAGATTTGTAAGCCTCCTATTGGCTGAGGTGTTGGATCATCATTTGCAGACTGTGTCGTAGTAGGTTCAATTTCTATGGTCTTGCACCCTGCTGAGTCCTCCTTATATTCTATAATGCGATATCCCTCAATATTTTGTTCACTTTTTTCTTCATTTCTTCTAATTTTTTCAATAAGGGTGCAAATTTTCCTTGCTGGTCCAACTTTTCCAGGTATCATCAAAAAAATGTCACTCTCCTTCATATTTATTAAACTGAATCCATCCACTTCATTATCTGTAGTGGCAAATTAAAATTTTCATATAGAGACAATACTTCCTATTAATGTCTATGTGAGAATTCAGGCTTCATTTTAGGATTAACACCAACAAAAATCTACATTGAATAACATTACATACATTTGTCCCCTTACTGTATGACTAATCTGAGGCCATTTGTATTTTATACTTAGTGCAGGTAAACAGAAAGTTTCCTCTGTTAGTCTACATGCAAAAGCATTAAATATGGGGCAATATTCAATGATATTTAGTAGTTTGCATTGAAAGTACTTGATGTTATTTAAAACATATATATCACTGATTACGCAAAAATCCAACTCATCTTCATCATAATTCTTCAATAGTACACTTCCAATTCTGTATGTTATCCCTTTTAGCTTTACACAACTGGTCTGAAGAACTGTATCAGGAATATGAGTTTCATTTCTATGTATTGCATCTTTCATACCATCACACAAGTCAGCAAATTTCATAGATGACCCAACGCCTACTGAATCACCAGAATAAAGATATACTTCAGATTTTCCATTTTGTACACTAAGCTGTTGTAGACACATCCACTGCTGATGATATGAAGCAACTGACAAAGGTAGTGATTTGAAATTTTTCCACTTCTTGTTTTTAAAGAGACTGTGTTTGGCTTCCATTCGAACACACCAATGATTTCTGCCTGGGCCAAAGTGAATGATTTGATTCGGAAAATGGCAAAGATAATGGAGTTTTGGTGTAAACTGAATATCTGGATATAACTTGGAAAAATTTGAGTTGTGGTCATGTATCAGTTGCTTTAGTATTGCAATTGTTTTATCAGAAGCAATAGGGGAAATAACAAGAAGAGTGATCTTTAATAGTCTGATAAAATTTTTCCAGTGTTCATCATCAGGCTGAATTTTTTCTCCAATCATAAAAGGTAAGAGTTCCATAAAAGTTTTTGTCTCTATAGCAGTCATTGGAAAGGTGTTTGGTCTTCTCAAAGATTTCATTTCTATCTCCTGTGGTTTATCTGTTGATTCTTCTGTTGTATAATTGAAAGTTCTTATTACAGTATTGAGATAAGATAGTGAGAAATATTTTGTCTTTTCAATAAATGTTTCAAGCATTAACTGAATTTCTAATTTGACTATTCCCTCTAGAAGAACATGCATTGGATCATGCAATATGCACTTGGTTACTTCAAATTCAGGAATCTTCAGTAGTATACTTCTTCCAGTGATGCCATATTGCTTAGACCAATATTTCTTGGTTTCTCCCTTAATTTGGTCCAATACATCACACCTATCTTTATGCTCTGCTTCATCCCTTTTAATAAAGTCATCCTCTGAAAAACTTGATGCTAAATTGTCATATCTTACTTCGCAGGTTCGACACGGTTTTTCTGCCATTCCAACACCTTCTTTAAACCCTCCCATAAGCTGTGCAGCTGGAGTGTCTCCTAAAGCACAGTAAAGCATTCCATAATATTTTTTTCTTTCTTCTCCAATAAGGAAATGTTTTCCTTCATGCAAAATGTTCAATGAATCCACAAAATCTTGAAGAAGATTTGATAGACCATACTTTCTCAGGTCTGTAGATTTTCCAATCGCCAGTAGTTGTGTTGCCTGTAATTTGAAACGATTTTCCGGCCCAATATTCAGTAGAGTCCAATAAAATACAGAAAGTTTATGTTTTTTGAACCAATTGGATTCACAATTTCAAAGTCATCATGGTAAAGGCAAAATAACAATGCATCAGGATGATCTCTTAGAAAAGGGTTCTGAAAATGTGCACCATCTCTAATGTCAGAAAATTGAAAATCAGACCTCTTGGGAGCATGAAGTTCTTGCTGTACTTCTGGCATCTTTAAAATCTCATGGAGTTGACAGAAAAATGGAACATAGTATCCCAAGACATCTTTTTCTATGAACCGGTATTTGTTTTGCAATTTCACATTTACACGTTTCTCTCCTAATTTTACAGCAACTGGTTTAACATAACCAAGGTATCTTTCAAAATATTTTTCTCGCAAATATTTTGACTCTAATCCCTCAAACATATCGTCTGAAAATATTTCATCCAGGTCAATTCTGGCGAACAAATCTTCCGGCATTTGTGACCGTATATGTTCTTTCATTAAGCTATTTCGAAAGCTATTCATTTGTTTCATTGATACTAAAATGTCATCAATGGCTTTTTGAGATAAATTGTGCTGAGCCACTAGCATCAAGATAAATTGTGCTTCCCATTTTTTCATAAAGTCTTCAGTCTCTGTTTCTATATCATCCTGATCATCATTAATATCTAGTATATCATTGTCAGAATTTTCAGCCTCAGGATCATTGGCATGCTTTCTGTAATGATGGGTCCTCAATCCTGCCACAGTTTTAAAAGAGGCCCCACATCCTGCCCTGCTGCAATGTACTATAAAGTTTGGTTCAAACTTATGCCTTCTTAATAAATGTCCATATAACCTATCTTTGCTGTGGCAGAAAAAAGGGCACATGCGACAGTAATTTTGCAAGCTCATATTTCCCTAATTGGCATGCACATGCATTCATCAAAATGAACCTAAAGAAAAAAGAAATACAAAATTGTATATGTCATCTGGGGACATGAAAACAACACAATCTACTAACTATAGGATTAAGTAATTTTTAAGAAAAGAGATGTTTTGTTAATTTGTTGACTAGTTAAACTTGATTAATAACTTGCATTGGCAGGGAAAATAGAATGAATTTGATAATATAGAACAAAAACTTTAAATGTGCACTATAAAACTGAATTAAATATATACCTTTGAATATGGAACTTGTCTCAATGCTGATACCATTCCCAATCAGCCAATTATAAACATCATCCAGTGAAGATTTCTCATCAATAGACATATTTCCTAAGTTAATGAAAAAAGAAAATTAATGACTTCATTTAAAAAAATATAAACAATTTACAAAAATTATGATAATTTGTATTTGGCCTTTTTACAGTATTTGTATTCCATTTACTGAAGCCACATCACAGCTTTTAAATGAATGTTCAAATACTGGTCCTTTCAATGTATGTACACCATGCGACTTTATCAACATTATACACATTTCTCATTTGGCAAGAATTGATGAAATTTGAATCAACATGTTGGCACACCAGCACTATATTTACAAATGAATCCTGATGTTATGAAGGGTGACTATAAAACTGAAAGCAACCCCTCCATAAAATATACAACTTGACCTGAACATTCTGTACCCATATTCTATATTTTGCCTATTTTTAATTGGTAGAACTACATGTACTGTATGTTCAAAATGCAAATGGTGAAGATTCAAGTCACTATTGACTGATAGACAATATAATAATTATATATTAATAACTATGTCAAGAAATCTTTGTACATATATAATAGATTTCAGTATTTAAAGGCAGAGAACTGCAAAGAAAGAAATACACATACCTCTTTCTTTGCTTCTTTTTATCACAAATTTAACAGTGTCATGGACCAATTCCGAGATGTCGTACGCCCCCAAATCTCTCAATTGTGGGAATGTTCCCACTAAGTAATAAATTAACCTGTCTGTCTCTTCCTCTGATAGGTCCTCTGCCTCTATCTTCAAGGAACCCAGTACCTCGGTGTTATTGGCACGGATTAATGTCTTCGATGGCACATGATTTAAAAGAAACAGTTCTATATCTTCTTTTATTGATGCAGCATATTGGTCCATAATCTGAATAAACTGGAAAAAAAAAATATATACTAATTTTCATATGATTCCCTCAACTCTCACTTTTAACTATAAATAAAAGTAACTGATTACACGTACGATGATGAAAATGGACAGGAGATTGGTAAGAGGTAACATTTTGCCATCGAGGAGCATGTTTACACGAATAAAATAATGTGCCGTCCAAACCCGACCTGTGAGATGCATACCGATCCCGATTTTCATTAAATAACGTTTTTATGATTTTAAAAATTATAGTATCTTTACTCATTAATCATTGAACATGTTATTCATGTCAACTTTCACAAATAATTTTACGTAGCAATAGGAATACAAAAAAGGGGTTTTAAGCAAGAGCATGTCATCATTCTTCTCGTCGACCAAGCCGCTGATATTTATTTATCATTTGACTGCATAATGGGAGTAACACGGCTCTGATTTGATATACTGTACATTTTTTTTCTTGAATTCAGACAATATATATATATATGAACAGGATGAGGGAATGACGCTCTTGGCGAGTCTGATTACAATATCCTTTCTCACATAATCTCCATATATATAATCAAAATCTATATATTGTAATATGTCCTTTTTTTATATATAAAAATGCTTAATTATCTTGAAACAAATAAAGTTTTCACCTTAATATATTAAATATTTTTGTACATAAAACAGGCATAACATTTAAAAACAAGAAAATAAACATTACCAAGATAAGATCCCTCAATCATGTTTCCAACATGGCTGCATGTGGTCGCTTGATTACTGACCAATTCCTTTGTCCTCAGAAAGTGGCGCGAATTGCATCATCCTGTGATTGTGTTTACATCTTAAACATGTTTAGCACAGAAACGTTAGTTACTTGGTAACTCCAAACTCTTATCTATATCAACATGTTTAGATCCTAAACATGTGAAGTTTAAACGCGTTTTGTTCCCTTCGCGTTTAGCATGTAAACATTTTCTTGAACATGTTAAACCTAAACATGTATATATTGTGTTCAAAATCTATACATCATTTTTACAGTGTAGTAGAGCATCATGATTTCAATGTCTTCTGTAAAAGGTCGTGTACGGGACTTCTTTACAGTGTCATGCCACTAACAAAGGCCTTTTATTCCTCACCTGTCCTGGAATACATTCAAATCCGTGCAGAAATCAAGTAATGGAAATAACGACCATTGATCTTAAACGGAATAAACGAGAGTACTACTCAAAAACTGTAAAAGTACATATTACCTGTATTATGTAATAAATTGTAATTTTGTGAACTTCAAATACACTTCCCTTTTAATGTAAGGAAAGGAACTATGACTTTTGCATTATTTCTATTGCCTTAATTAGAATAAGTACACTTATTCCGTTTCTAAACAACAGCAATGTGTGGCAAAAGATCCCCCTTTCCATATTAAGAAAATTAATGTAAATGTGCATTTACTGTTAATCTTAATGCATTGCAATTATTCCGTTAAATCAATTCTGGAGAAAATTCTTTTTCGCCTATAACGGGTTAAAAGGTGTATTCCTTCAATACAAATAAAGTTATACCTCGCAGAGAAAGAAATAATAAATAAATTAATAAAGAAATAAATGTTACATTCTACCATTATCATAGGAAAATGTCCCCTTTTTCATTTTTTTTTTTTCTCATATTTTGTAACAGAGTAAAGTACATCTTTTAAATTCACACCACTTTACATAAAAACATTTATTCCGTTATAAATTTACCCCGGAAATAGAAAAGAAATCATACATTAATTATTGAATAAATGGAACATACCAGCAATTATTAATACAATCCCCTACCTCCTCCCTCCTTTTTTCAAATTCTTTAACGAATAAAGTGCATCTTATGAATTCATACAATTTTTCATCAATACATTTATTCCGTTATAAATATATTTCGGAAATAGAAAAGAATTAGACACTAATTATTGAATAAATGGAACATTCCAGCAATTATTAGCACAATCCCCTACCTCCTCCCTACTTTTTTCAAGTTCTTTAACGGAAAAAAGTACATCTTATGAATTCATACCATTTTTCATCAATACATTTATTCCGTTATAAATTTACCTCGGAGAGAATAAAATTTATGCAATTATTAGGACAATCACACTTTCTCCTTTCATTTTTAAATTTATTTATAACGGAATAAAGTACATCTTTTGAATTCATACCATTTTTCATCAATAGTTTTATTCCGAGTATAAAATTTTTTGTCAAAAAAAAATAAATAATACAATAATTACGGAATAAATGGTACATTACAACAATTATTAGCACAATCAAGACACCCTCCCTACTTTTCATATCCCCCCCCCAATTTATTTATAACGGAATAAAGTAATTCTTCCCATTTTCAATCAATACATTTATTCCGTTATAAATTTACTTTGGAGGAAAAAATATATACGTAAGGTACTAGTGTATGGAAACTGAAGCGAACAATATTAAACTTTGTAATGTTTAAAAATGTTTTTACCGTGCCTTACAATCGAGTCATACATCATCTAAAACTTCTTTGAATCATGCTACAATTATTGAAAAGTTTTATTTCATATATATATATATATATATATATATATATATATATATATATATATATATATATATACCAACCACTTAGTCACAAGTCAGTTGCCATTCAAAATAAGGTAATTTCTAAAAAATCACATAGGCCTATAACGGAATAAATGCAATTGGAATGTTAAAAAACATTAATATTATATCATATTATAAATGATTTACGCCAATAACGTCAATAACGTCAAAAATTATTAGCATCGCGATGCTAATAACAGGATAATGCCCATGTAAAAAGCATTAATATCAAATTTGAATTATTTAATTAAGATTAAATAAATAAAAAAAAATACAGTAGTAACATTTGAAAAAAAAAACACCAAGTCGTTGAACAAATTAATAATAAATGTTTATATTTGTTATATACTGTATTTATATTAGGGCGAACAAGATATAGAGCAAACAAGAATTACGGCGAACGGACCCTGCGCGAATGGACTCATGCGAACAGGTAGATAGGGTTAATGATTAATAATGATTAGATTCATTTGTATCCGAACAAGCGTCATGTTCCACCACCGGATGTACCTGAATTTTGTCACAACTTTGATCAGTTTTAATGTGATTGACACAGTCAGGACAATCTGATCGGTTACACCAATGACCAACCATCCGCGTTCTTGTGTTTAGAAACAGGTCTTTGTTTTAAGAAAACAAATCATAACACTCTATCACACTCAACTAATGGGCAAGCATTCTTTCAACATCTTTAAAATTCCGCAACCATTTTAAGGGAGCATGATTTCAACAAATTTCCTGCCTAATAAGTAATAGCGTTTTAAATTATTTGACGTGTTTTCTATAAGCAATGACAAATGTTCCGGTAATGTACCAGATTCATCTCCTCGCAACGAATGATCATGAAGTTTCTGCAACTTGTCCGACTGTAGCTAGGACATCATCTCGTTTTAATTTTACTGGGTTTTCGTCAAGATTTAGAATTAAAATAATTTACATTTGTTTTCCGTTTTAACAATTGATATGGCGACTAAGAGACCTTTACTTCTTGCAAACTTTGACGCCTCGATTATGCCCTGTTGATTAGGACTATAACTCGCGATGTAACCCTCGACTACCATCTCAGAATTCCCAGGAATTGTAACATTCTCAACAGCTTTTAGAAAAGCAACTCTGGAATTCGTGTTTTGAAACAATTTTCGGATGAAAATATCTATTTCATTTTTCTCAAGAAAATCTGTCCCCAAGAGACCATCAATTCCTTCTAAATCTCCAACAATAAATTTGTGTTCAAATGCATGATTTACGAATGAAAGTTTAATACACATGTAGTTTGTTTTCCAAACACAACTAATTTACTTCCATTTGCAGTTTGGAGTACTGTGTCAGTACTTTGAAGCGCGGTTTCTAATTTCAATTCATCATAAAGACTTTTCTTTGGAACTGAAACAGACGCTCCTGTGTCTATATGTAGCTGACAATGTTTATCGCCTATGTTTGCTTTTACATATAAACATGCTGTATATTTCTCGATGTTCGTTGACTTCTGAGAACTGACTTTTTTCACCTTGTTTGATTCAGTTTTGCTTGGTAACGGACTATTTGATTCAGGCTTGAAAACATGATTTTGGTTTTCATTAGAAAACTCTTTCAACGCGCTGAGATTAGTGACTGTACTTGAATCCGCGCCTGTTTTTACCTAGTTGAAAGGGGTCACTCGTGCTTTCTATTGACTTTTCGTTTACAGATGGTCGTTTGTTACTTTCAAAGATTGACGTTCCGACCTCAATGCCACCCGAAATTAGCTTAAAGTATTTTGTGTTTGCATGAGTTTTGTACATGCCGGTCTAAGATCAGGAAATTTCTTGTAACGTCGCTTTCTAAGTGCCTACACCTTTGCAATAATTGCAAATGATTTCAGATCAGGTTTTATGCTCTTCAGCGGAAGCCTGAGTACCTTTTAATAAATCTTTAATTTCCATTTCAAATTTCTCTAGTTTGCGATCAATTATTTTCTCGATTTCTTCGCGTATTACAGAATTTTCTCTTTTCTCAAGCGTGTTCATAGGCATCATGCTCTGACCTCGTTCGATCTCTGACTCGTTACACGGTTTTTTGACATGATCAAGAGAACCTTGAAATGCCTCATATTCCATTGCGTATGCGATTGCTTGATCCAATGACAAATGACATGTTTTTTGAGTTCTTAATGACCAAAATGGTCTATAATCTGCGATTCTAAAGCAGAGTATGTGACATGGAGATATGCTTTTAATTTTAACCTCGCGTTTTGTTTTTAAGTTCACACCTAAACGCAACCTCTCTTTCTACAGGATTAAATCGCCTGCCTAAAACAGATTTTAGTCTAGCATAATCTTGCAAGTACATTCACTGAGTAGTTTTTGTGCTTTGCCTTTTAAACACAATGAGTTGTTGAGCACATTCGCGTCCGTTCTCTATACAACTGGCTGAAAAATGGAGACCGTTCCTTCGGATGAGACCGTAAACTCAGGTCCCGTTTCGCAGTACGTGCTGGCACGAAAAAGATCCCTCACTGCTCACTGGACGTAAGTGCCGAGTATAGGACAAAACTTCCACCGGCAAGTGGTGGCGTCTCC